GTGTTTCCTGTCTGCTTTCAGGAAAGCCCAGTCAGGATAACCACACTGCTCCAGGGCCTGTCTTGTGTGTGACTTCTCTTTCTCTCTGGCTCCTGGGTTCGTGGGGACCACAGAGCAGACAGTGTCCCCACAAACACATGATGGTTTTGGAAATAGCATTAAGATTGATTTTGACCTTGGTTCTCTTTGCACTTCTTTTACAGCATTTTTTCTTAGTTCACATTATTACAAAACTGATGAAAATTTTGGGAGAAAATGGCATTGCCACTCTTCAGAATTTCTTCAAAAAAGTTTTAATTAGAACGTCCTCTTACCTAGACCAAGCTGGCAGAACTCTGTAGCTCCTCCTGGTCCTGTGAACAAAACCATTTGACATTTTTTTCGGGGAAAAACTTCCATGTAAAGTCTTCATGAGAGTGATTCAAACAGAAGCTTACTCTTCACAATAATTGTCGCCTTGCTTGTAGCTGTGCCATGCTGGTTGGTGGCCACAGCACTGTACTCAGCGGTATCACTTACAACACACCTTCAAAATAAGACAGCACAGAAACAAAAGACAACAATCACTCAACGATAGACATGTGGTAAAATGAACGTTTGTGCAGGTGATGCATTTGAAAAGTGTATAGATATGTTTACCTATAAAAATTTTTGGGGGGGCAGTCATTTAAAGTTTTTTCTGGGTAATATCCTCATTCTCGTTTCAAATGTTTTCTCATTTAAAGATAAAAAGAATATGTTTTTATGTTTAATTGCCACACTGTTTTTGTGGCAATTAAAGTACAGATTTTTATTAAGGATTTTGCTTCAGCAAAATGTATCGTTTGATTTTTAATTTTTTAAATACAAAAAGAGAGTTTGGTGTGACGTTTATCAACACCCTTTTAGTAGTAGACCAAGGAACTCACCACGAATTATGATTAAAAATAAATTTAAAAACTGTGTATTACATAGAGTTAGAATCTATCCAGTCAGATGTGAAGCCCACAAACACACAGTGATCTAATCACTGGAATGTGGTTAAAAGATGCTGCACTCCAACACAACTACTGAAGAGTCATCTTAGATGAGAATAGAAAACAGAAATGTGACTAACACTCCACTGAGCTATTTTAAGATGATCCTTTTTTCTCAGCTGTTAGGGCATGAACTCAATGACCTCATAATATA